TTTCCAACATCTGCAAGGTGTAATGCCTGCATCCTTCTTGCGTCCTGCAAGCTATCAGTAAATCATCCACATATTGGAGCCAGATTCCTTCAGATTCAGGGATCTTGAACTCCTCTAAGTCCTTGGCGAGCGCCTGGCCGAAAATGGTCGGGCTATTTTGCCAGCCCTGAGGAAGGCGTCTCCACATAAACTGAGTCTTTTGGCCCGCTTGCTGGGTGTCCCATTGGAAGGCAAAGATGGGTTGGGAAACTGGAGCCAGCCTGATGCAAAAGAAAGCATCTTTCAAGTCTAAAACTGTAAACCATGCCGTCCACGAAGGGATTAGGCTCATCACAATGTAGGGATTTGGTACTACTGGGGTGAGGAGCACCGTGGCTTGGTTGACTGCCCTAAGGTCCTGCACCGGGCGGTATTCATTCTTAGTTCCTGGCTTCTTTATCGGTAACAGAGGTGTGTTCCATGGTGAACTACAGGGCACAATAATTCCGTGTTCTAACAACCTGTCAATGTGAACTTGTATCCCTGCAGAGGCTTCCCGACTCACTGGGTACTGTGGTCTTTTGACTGGGACTGCTCCTTTCTTCACCTCTACTACCACTGGGGGCACATATTTAGCCAGTCCTGGAGGATTGTCTTCTGCCCACACCAAAGGAGTCCGCTCCCAGGGCCATTCAACTTTTGGCCGCGGGGTAGACTTCTCCTGTTGTACCAAGTACATCCTCCATTCCTCTTCCATGGGTATTGTCAATTCCATTTGGCCATTGTCCAAAAATTGGATTTGTGCTCTTAATTTCGACAAAATGTCTCTTCCTAATAATGACACTGGGCAATCAGGGTGATACAGTAACTTATGACTCACATTATGGCCTGCTAGATTACATGTCCGTTCCTGTAGAAAAGGGCATTTCTGAATTTTTCCTGACAGCCCCACCACTTTGGTGACTTCTGCGCTGGTAGGACCAATAAGTTTGTTCACCACTGATCGTTCTGCCCCAGTGTCCACTAAAAAGTCAACTTGCTGGTCCCCTACTTCTATAGTGACCATCGGCTCCCCGGGGTCCAGCAAAACGAGAGCCTGGTCGGTTCATTCCTCTTCCTCCGCATCCTCCCATTCTTCTTCTGCTATTGCAGCCACTACTGCTTCCCTCTTCTGGTGTGGGGTATAGCCTCCACGGCCTCTTCCACGTCCTCTACCTCTTCCTCTGCCTCGTCCTTCGCCTCCTTCTTCTCCAGACACCTTCTCTGTATATTCCCCCTTCCAGTGCCCATACTTCTTGCATTTGGCACATTGATTCCATCCCAACTTCTTTCGCTCTCCTCCTTTTCCCTTTCCTCTTCCTCTTGATCCTTCCGTCTGTCCATCCATCATGGTCAACAATACTTTATATCCTTCCTTACGATCTCTCTTCTTCTTCTCTTCCTCTTTCTGATCTCTGGCCATATACACCTGTTCTGCTATGGCTAGGAGTTCATTCATACTTTTCCCTATGAATCCCGGTTGCTTTTGAATTTTTCTTCGGATGTCATCTGCTGCCTGGCTGATGAAAGACTGCTGCAGTGCCCTTCTCCCATTCTCATCTTCTAAATTATATGGGCTGTATTTCCTGTATGCCTCTTCCAGCCTCTCCAAAAATGCTGAGGGAGATTCACTCTTCTCCTGCCTCACCCCTTGGATCTTTTGGATGTTAGCTGGCCTCGGTGGTCCCTTTTTAACAGCATCTATCAGGATCCCCTGATAAGTCGTTAGGGTCGTCCTATCGTTGTCAACGTTGGCCTTCCAGCCTGGATCTCTTTCAACTGGGAAGCGCTGCGCCCCCCAAGCAACCGCATCCTGACCCGCTGGTGGCTGATTCTGTGCCAGTAACGTAGCTTGATTGATCACCTGCCTTCTCTCCTCTGTGGTAAACAAGACCTGGAGGAGCTGTTGGCAATCTCGCCACGTTGGATTATGGGTAGCTATAATAGTTTCTAATAAAGTCGCCATTGCTTGAGGTTGTTCGGAGTAGGGAGGTGTAGAATTCTTCCAATTCAGCAAGTCACTGCTGGTAAATGGGACCACCTGATATAATTGATAGGGCTGGTCATTTTGATCCAATACACTAACTTCCCTTATTGGAAATTCCCTCGCCGTTGTACTATCTGCCGGACCTTCCACAGGGGAGAGCTCAGCTTGCCTGCTTCTAGTAACGGCTGGGCTTGCATCACTAGGCTCTCAGGCAGGACGTCGCACCGTTTGTGTGGTGGTGTCCGCAACCATTAATTCATCCCGAAGGTTTCGGAAGGGATTGGTTTCACTGTATGGAGGCTGTAGAACTATGGACACTGGGCTGTCATATGACGGAGGCGGTGTTATTGCCCGTTCCTGGTCAACTGGTCTCTGGGCGCCTTGAACCGCTGCTAGTGGGGGCGCATTGGGAATTACCGGCAATGGTAATGTCCGTCCCTGGTCCACGGGCCCCTGGGCGCCTTGAGCCACTGCTAGCGGGGGCACATTAGGAGTTGCATATCGCTGCCCCCGGTAACTACATCCCTCCGCCGGCTCTTCTTCCTGGGCAAGGACTTTAACCTTGACTTTCTTTTCTTTCTTCCTTATCATCATACACTGTACTTCTTTACACTTCCGGACCCAATCAGGATTTTGGGTCACCACATTGTCCCAGGCATCAATATAAATATATTGATCCGGATGATGGTTAGCACAAAATTTTTCTACCTGCCTAATCTTCTTTAGGTCCCACAACCCTTCTGCAGGCCACCCAAAAGGAAAGGTGGGCCATTCTCCTGTGCACAGATTCCTTAATCTGTAGTCCTTAAAATCTCCTGGATCTCCCTGACTCGATGCAGCTACAAACTTATCAAAGTTGTCTAGCATACACTGAAGCGGAGTCACTGCCTTTGAATTCCTCCCACCCATGGCCTCTAGTGGGGAGCAAACCTTGGCCTTCACGCCCGGACACTCAACGGCGCGTTTCAGGAACCGCAAGGTTTGCCCCATCCTCCCACTACCCCACAGGATACTTAGTGGTCCCCCTTCCCCCAGCGCTGGTGTGTGTGTTACCTAGTGTCTTTACTTGACCACTTATACTTGCCGGGTCTCTGCAGACGTCGGAACAACCTTCGCCCCCGGACTTTCCTCCTCCTGGATCCTTCCTACCACTTCTCCACTCCCAGTTAATTTCTTGAGAACCCGAAGAGTTGCGATTTTCCTTGATCAAGCGGCACTGACAGAAGAGGGGAGTGTCGCAGCCGGTTATCAGCCGGGGGCCCCCTTAGTCTCGGCTCACGGCAATCGCCTCAGCCCGTGCTGCTGATCAAAAAATCGTCTTGCCAACAAGATCTGTCTCCCCCGACTCTAGGCCCGTCTGAATAAATCTCGGTGGAACCTCCAAAAATGAAGCAGACTTTTTCCTTCCCCTGAGCAATTGCTCAAGAGCTTAGCCAAAATGCTCCATTCATGTTCAGTTGCGGACGCAGATGAGTCAGGAAAAGCAGCCAACTGGGTTCAGCAAGAATATCAAAGTTTATTTAGCTTAGCAGCTGCTAGTTAACTTCCGACACAACAAGGAGTCTCTGGGGAAGTCACACCAGCACAAAGGGTAGTGTCTTTTTTATACATACAAAGGGGTTCGGCTTTAAGAGCCGCCCCAAAGATTAAATCATTGGTTAAGAAAGCTGTCAATATTATATTTACGTTAAGCAATTAGATCATATACTTTTTAAGTTTCGTTTCTCAATAAGCAAGCCCCTTTTTGTAAACATCTCAAGATGCTGATGTGCAAAATACAGCTGGGGACATCTGCTAATCTGGCAGAGTCAGCACTGATCTGGCAAAGTCAGCATGTCTCTTGACCGATTCTTCACCCCTGTACAAAAAACTTCTCTTTGGCACCAAAACCCGTCTTTGTTTCCCATATATAGTCAAGTCCATATCCGTTCTCCTTTCTATATGAAAACTCCGGCATTTTGTAGAACTATAGCCGTACCTTTCTGCCTACCTTTCTGCCTTAGCAGTAGATACATGGCTGTGGACTAGGACATGAAACAATGGCTTCAAACTACAAGAAAGGGGATTCCACCTGAACATGAGGAAGAACTTCCTGACTGTGAGAGCCGTTCAGCAGTGGAACTCTCTGCCCCAGAGTGTGGTGGAGGCTCCTTCTTTGGAAGCTTTTAAACAGAGGCTGGATGGCCATCTGTCAGGGGTGCTTTGAATGCAATTTTCCTGCTTCTTGGCAGAATGGGGTGGGACTGGATGGCCCATGAGGTCTCTTCCAACTCTTTGATTCTATGATTCTATGGATTGCGGGAGCAAGTGGTCGGTCTAGCTGCAGCTATGAGCCTATTGACAGCCTCTGTGTCCAGCAGGATTAACTGGTCGAGGACGGGCCCAGCAAGTAGCCACGGAGTCTCAAGTTCTCTTACTGTATCAATTGTGGCGGGTAGGTCCCGGCAAAGTAGCGAGATCTTGTCTGCAAAATAGCTCTGAAATGCCTCGGCTAAAGGGGCCTGATCACCACTTTTTGGGATGGTAGGAACCGTTGTTAGAGATTGAATTATGTGGGGTTGATTTAGCCTCTGTTTTGCTAAAATGAATTACCATGTCACGAAAGGATGCATGTCAAAAGTGTCGTCAACATGAAACATTTGGAAAACTCATTCTCAGAGACACTCTCTCTCTCTCAGGGGCCAAGGGCCACTGTTCCCTCCCATGTGAATTCTAGGTCTATGTAGAATTAAACTCTTAGAGCAGCTCTTAGAATCACAGCGTTGGAATAGACCTAGTGGGCCATCCAGTCCAATCCCACTCTGCCAAGAAGTAGGAAAATTGCATTCAAAGCACCCCTGATAGATGGCCATCCAGGCACTGTTGAAAAGCCTCCAAAGAAGGAACCTCCACCACACTCCCTCCCTCCGGGGCAGAGAGTTCCACTCCAGGGCAGCAGAAAGGAAGCTTGCTCCCTCCTCCCTAGGACTTCCTCTCACATATTTATACATGGCCCTCATCATTATGTTTATTTATGTCCACTTTTTCTCTCTATATGGAGACTCAAAGCATCACGAATTAAAAGCATTGCAATATAACTTCAAATATACATCTATACAAACAGTATTAAACATCATGAATATTTAACCAAAAACAATTTTAGTTAAAGCCACAAAATCATATAAAAGCACAACAGGGTTAGATTAGATGGCCCATGTGGACTCTTCCAACTCTTTAATGCTATGGTTCTATGCTATGTCTTTATAGGGCTTCTCCCCAGCGTGAGTAATTTATGTGAACGTAGATGTGCACTCTGAGTAAAGCTCTGTCCACACTCCAAGCATTCATAGGGTCTCTCCGCAGTGTGAGTCCTTTGATGTGAACGTAGATTTCCACTCTGAGCGAAACTCTTTTCACTCTCCAGGCAGTTATAGGGTTTCTCCCCAGTGTGAGTCCTTTGATGTTTATGTAGATTTCCACTCGCATTGAAGCTCTTTCCACATTCCAAGCATTCATAGGGTTTCTCTCCAGTGTGAGTCCTTTGATGTTTATGTAGACTTCCACTCTCAGTGAAGCTCCTTCCACATTCCAAGCATTCATAGGGTTTCTCCCCAGTGTGAATCCTTTGATGTGAACGTAGACTTCCTCTCCGAGTGAAGCTCTGTCCACACTCTAGGCATTTATAGGGTTTCTCCCCAGTGTGAGTCCTTTGATGTAATCGTAGATGTGAACTCCAAATGAAGCTCTGTCCACACTCCAGGCACTTATAGGGTTTCTCCCCAGTATGAGTTATTTGATGGTTACATAGACTTACACGCTCAGCAAAACTCTGCCCACACTCCAAGCATTTCAAGGGTTTCTCCCCAGTGTGAGTCCTTTGATGTGAACGTAGAACTGAACTACACGTGAAGCTCTGTGCACACTCCAGGCATTTGAAGGGTTTTTCCACTGTGTGAGTTCTTTGATGGTTACATAGATTTCCACTCTCAGTGAAGCTCTGTCCACACTCCAGGCATTTATAGGGTTTCTCCCCAGTGTGAGTCCTTTGATGTTTACGTAGACTTCCACTATGAGTGAAGCTCTGTCCACATTCAAGGCATTTATACGGTTTCTCCCCAGTGTGAGTCCTTTGATGTGAACGTAGATTTCCACTCTCAGTGAAGCTCTGTCCGCACTCCAGGCATTTAAAGGGTTTCTCCCCAGTGTGAATCCTTTGATGTTTACGTAGACGTCCACTCTCAGTGAAGCTCTGTCCACACTCTAGGCAGTCATAGGGTTTCTCTCCAGTGTGAGTCCTTTGATGTGAACGTAGAGTTCCCCTCCGAGCGAAACTCTTTTCACACTCCAGGCAGTTATAGGGCTTCTCCCCAGTGTGAGTCCTTTGATGTGATTGTAGACCTGAACTATGAGTGAAGCTCTGTCCACATTCAAGGCATTTATAGGGTTTCTCCCCAGTATGAGTCCTTTGATGTGAACGTAAATGTCCACTCTGAGTGAAGCTCTGTCCACACTCTAGGCATTTATAGGGTTTCTCCCCAGTGTGAGTCCTTTGATGTGATCGTAGATGTGAACTACGAGTGAAGCTCTGTCCACACTCCAGGCACTTATAGGGTTTCTCCCCAGTGTGAATCCTTTGATGTGATCGTAGACCTGAACTATGAGTGAAGTTCTGTCCACACGCCAGGCATTTCTAGGGTTTCTCTCCAGTGTGAGTCCTTTGATGTATTTTCAGATATGTGTGCCACCTAAACCTCTTTCCACATTCAGTACATTTATGTGCTTTCTCCTCCATGTTGACAACGCTATGTACATTTAATTGTAATATGGACACCTGTCGCTCCTCTTTCCCTTTCTGATTACTTGCAGCAATGGTTTCAAATTACAGAAAAGGTGATTCCTTCTGAACATTAGGAAGAACTTCCTGACTGGAAAAGCTGCTCAGCAGAGGAATTCTGTGCCTCAGAGTTCAGGGGAGGCTCTTCTGGGGACTTTTCAACAGAGGCTGGCCATCTGTCAGTGGTACTTTGACTGCTTCTCCTGCATGACAGGGGGTTGGACCAGATGGGCCATGCAGTCTTTTCTATGATTCTACTCTATAATCAAAAGTGAATTTTAGAATTCAGCAAGATGGGTGCCTTGAGAGGACTTCTTTTTCAAATCGGACTGGTTTCCTTATTGGACTTTGGCTTCCAAATTCCTCAATATCCACTAGATGCTGGTTTGTTTCTCATCATGCCGGGCCGGCTCCGGAAACCCACGTGTCCCTGGTCAAGAAAGAAGAAGCAAAGGGTTAAACATGAAGCCCCAAACATCCTTGAACACAAAAATTATCCTCTTTTGCCTCCATGGAACATGTTGACAATGGAAATACCAAGACACAGAGGCATGAAGAGTCTTCAAGGACATACACAGAATAATAATAATAATAATAATAATAATAATAATAATAATAATAATGTATTTGTAAACTGCCCTATCTCCCCAAAGGGACCCAGTGTGGTTTCCAATGTGTATGGCAAACATTCAAAACAGGAGAACATCAGAACAAACCACATAAAAGCAGCCTAACTCTAAAACTTAGTAACAAACAAGTCATGCAACAATACAAACATAAATAACCTATATGGTTATAAGAGTTAATATACATTTGACACTAAATGAAGGCAACTGAGAACGATAGCTGGGACCCTTACAAAAAGGTGACATGTTATGCAAGAAGCAGCGGGCTGAAGTCAGATCCAGTCTCTAGACAAGGTTTAACTTATCTAGGCAAAACTATAAGTTGGGCATATTAGTCTCCCTCCTCTCCATACATCAAAGTGCACAGGTGGGTTTTCAGCAGTTGTCTAAAAGCGAGGAGAGGGAGCAGTTTAACATTCTTTTGGGAGGGAGTTCCAGAGGCAAGGAGTGATCACGGGGAAGGTCCCGTCTCTCAGTCCCACCAGCCACTCTTGACACGGGTGGGACTGAGAGCAGGGCCTCCTCTGCGGATCACAAGGCTCAGGCCGCTTTGTATACAGACATGAGGCTCTGCAAACAGTCTGGGCCTGAACCGTTTAAGGCTTTCTAGGTAACGAACAGCACTTTGTATTTAGCCTGGAAGTGGATCAGCAACCAGTGGAGCTGCCGCAGCATGGGAGTTGTCCTCTCACGGTATGGCGCTCCGGCTAGCAATCCGGCTGCCGATCCCTGCAGTGATTGCAGCTTACAAACTATCTTCAAAGGCAGCCCCACATAGAGAGTGTTGCAGTAGTCCAAACGGGATGTGACCAAGGCGTGGACTACCATGGCCACTGAGACACAACCACCAGCATCCAAGGAAATACAGTAAAGAATTCTTGGGCAGGAGGGACCTATATTTTATTATCCCACCACTGCCACCATTAAATATATGTGGAACACACCACACCCAAAAGAACTGGGCAATGAGGAGAGTAAATAGTAGAGGTGTGTGTAGCATAGTTGTGGCTGAGCACTGTATTATTTAAATATATATGTTAGTGTGAAGCTGGAGAGAGAGACTTGTATGGGAATTGAATGAGAGAGGTTTGACTTTCAAAACACCTTGTTTGTGACACTCCAAAATACGTAACCCAATACCATAAACTGATTCGTGTTCCAAAAGATCTTCGGCCGTCTCCCTTGAAGAAAATCTTCACTTCATTCACTTGACACAAGTCGTTGTGGTAAGAAACTGAATTCTCAGGCACGCAAAGCTTATTGGTTACACAGTAGTTTCTTCACAGTACTTCTTAGATATTGTTACAGTTCACTTTTATGATCATGAACACTTGAAAGAGTTTCTATGTAACTTCCAGAATGGCTCATACTCTTGCCAATCTGACTTTAATAACTTCCTTTACTCTAAAATGTTATTTAGTCTTCTGACGGGGTAAATGTAACCTTGTAGTTTCTTCGCCTTAGCAATAGGTTAACGGTGAATTTCTCTCTCAAAGTACACTTCTACCCTCAGTCCCACTGACTGACACTTAGGCTCAGATTCGCCTTTTATTTACTTCCGCTCTCCCACTGAAGACACAAAACATTACCGGGAATTCCTTTCCCCTTGCTCACCCTAGTTTCTACTTCTAAACTGGTCCATTTAACACTCTGAATATCAAGGCTGAAGACTTCAACTCCTTGGTCCAGCTCTAACACAGCCAGAACCAACCTTCCTTTGGCTTGTCCGGCTAAAGACTGGCTAACCTTTTCAAAAGGTTCGCTCTACTCCTGTTGGCAGTTAGCTCCGCCCCTTTGGCTCCTAAGCTCTGCTGAAATAGATACATTTCTACTGCAATCTTTGTTACTATGGCAACGCATCAAACAAGCAGCTGTAGCTCAAGCTGGCCAGCGCTTGCAATATACTAACCTTAATAAACATGTTCAAAACCCACATTATAATTAGATATTTCATTATATACCAGCAAAAGCAATCACAGATTCATACAAACGAGGGAGGGAGGGAGGGTTCCTAAATCCCAGAGTGAGAGAGTTGCCCCCATTCCCTCCCAAAGCAAAGCCTTGAAGCCAAGGAAGGGAGAAGCAACAAGGGGCAGAAAAGGAAGAGGGATTGGGGCCCCCATACTCCTCCCCCTTTCACTCCTCCCCCCTCCCTCCGAAAGACCTGCCGGTTGCACCCAGAGCAGGAACACCTCTCTCCTTCAACACCACACCTGTATTGCAACATCAGCAAGTGGTTGAAGGATATAGGATGGCAAACCAGTAAAAATGAAGCCATATAGTCCAAAAGAGTATTGTACAAAGGTAACAGATAGTCCATAAACTTCAAGGCAGAAAGGTAAACACACAAGATCCAAGGACGCAAAGTCCAAAAGAAGGAGACTGCTTGGAGATCCAATACCCAGAAGAGGAAGAGATGGGGATCACGTCTCATTTTGAGAGAGGGAGGGAGGGAGGGGCAGGAGAGCCATGTTTACGTGCTTGGAGGGGGTCCCATTGGGGAGGGGGGGAGGGAGAAGGAAATGCATCGTATATGTCGATACAACTGTATATTCTCTTCTCAAATAAAAATTGGGGGGGAAAAACATACATACTGATCAGACTTGGAGAAGGGCACTGAGGAAGTGCACTCAATCAAATTGCTAGTCCAGATTAAAACAGATCGGTTCAATAAACAATATTTGAATAATAAAAAAAGGACTGTTGACTGACACGTCGGCGGTTCAAGTAGAGGGAGCTCCCTCTGTCAGCTCCAGCTCCCCATACGGGGACATAAGAGAAGCCTCTGACAGGATGGTAAAACATCGAGCATCCAGGCAACGTCCTTGCAGACGGTCAGTTCTCTCACACCAGGAGGACACGGAAAAAACCCAACCTCCCAGGCCACAGGGACTCCCAACTCTGCTTCCCGAGCATCCCACATGGCCACTGCTGCCACTACATTCCTTACATGTCCCAAAGAAAGTGGTGTCACAATGCACTAATTCTAAAGTGCAAATGCATCCTTACATGTTTCATACGTGCATGCATGCTAATTTTTAGATTAAGATGCACTGGGTCGTAATGAACTTCTTCTTTTCTTTCCTTTTTTGTGGTGTGGGACCTTTGCCCGTCCTTTCCGTGCCGTTTCTGCCCCAGGGACCAACGTCTTTGCCCCAGGCGCCATGCACAGGGGTGACTAATGGATGGAACGAGCGGTACGTTCGGGGTCCGGCCATGGCCTATTACAGCCCGGCAAGGCTGAAGGTGCCATCCCACAAATGGAACTGATATCGAGCTCTTTTGGGGGTCTCTCCAGGGAGGAGAGCCTTAGGACTGCACCAAAGAGAGTCCTGGATACCTTGGTGAGATTTCCGGAAGCCAATCCAAGAGCGCAGGAATATTTTAAAATATAATCAGCTCACCAGAGGCGGAAGAAGTCCAGCGATCGAGGTTTATTTGCGATTCAGTTGCAATCGGATGCAGTTGTAGGGATAGTTCCTCTACAAGCATGGTGATACAAAGATTTCAGGCATTTTTATACAGTACAAGACAAAAGAAAGCAGTTTGAAACTCCCGCCGCCCCTTGCCGGCCGGCTTGACGCTGATTGGCTGAGGCTGGAACAGCTGGGAGGAGGCTTGGCAGCCCGCCTCTGTTTTCAGCCAATCAGAGCGTTCCTGCGCCTCGCGAGGGCCAATGGGCGCCCTCCGCTCGCTTCTGAGTTTGGACCAATCAGGAGTGAGGGGGCGGAACGGCCGCAGACAAAGGGGAAAGATGATGGGATTTGGATTTCCTGCCAGCTGGAATGCGGGCTTTGTCCTGGGCGGGAAAAGGGTGATAATTGGCAAACAAAGAGCTTTCCTGCCCTTGATGGGTCTGGCGAGTGATTTGAATGGGCTGGTTCGAAATCGGGCCTCCCGGGGGGTCAACGACATCTGGGTGAATTAATCAGTCTCTTTTTCCGAGGCTCTGCTGACCCCTCTTCCCTCGCTGGCCTTGCTCCGATGGCTAGGGTTGGGGATCAGCAGTATTGTCCATGCTGATGAGTCAATCAAGGGGTGATTGAGGAAGAGGCTGGGGCTCTTTCCTCAGGCAGTTCCTGGTCACGCCGGTTTTGTGGGGCAAAGGTCAAGGGGGTGAGGATACAGAGGAATTCATAAGGGTTACATATATCATAATCATCATAAGACATAGGCATCACTAACTTACAGGCATTTCATAATTTTTACAACCCACAAACCATCCCAACC